AGCCACTGCTGGTTGGTTGTGGCAAACTGGTCGTGGCTTCTGCAGTTCGGGTTGCGGTAGAACAGTACAAAATGAAGCCCACCATAATGATACCAAAGGACAGGAGGTAGAGACCTGAAAACTGACAATGATATGAAGAGGGGCAGAGAAATAGAAGTGGTTAGAAATTCTGTCTTATGATTGTGCCTTGCAGCAAGAGCATCACTTACAGTTACACTTTCTTTAGGTCTCAGTATATGAAGTCCATCACTACAGCATATGGGACTTAAAAAGCAAAACTCAGAAGCTCAGACAATTGTCAGATTCAGCTTTATTGTTCTAGACACGGGGATGGCAAGTGTGATGGGGTGTACCAGCCCCACACTGGGGAAGTTAGGCCTAACCAGGCTCATCTAGTTAAAGGAGTCCTGTCCCCACAGCCTTGCTGGGCGTGCTCGGACTGCAGCCCAGGTAAAAAAGCCTAGAGAAAGGCTCAGTCTGGGTGGGCTGCTGAGGAGGGAGGAGGCACTGCCAGAGCTCCTGGAGGCAAACTGCCAGTGGGACTTGGCCTGGGGACCAGCCTGCAAGACATTGGAGATTCGGCAGAGGAACTGGAGGAAGGCCTCTGGAAGGAGTCTAGCGGAGACTGGTAGAAAATAGCCCCAGGCAGGAGAGTGTATCCTGAGGAGCTCAGTGTGTTGCGGTGGTAGTATTCCACACTGCTAATAGGGGCCTGGGCTGGGAACTGGTGTAGTAGGGAGGGCCTGGGTCCCCCTACCCCAGAGGCGGGCAATAATATTTAATCAGGGACCACTCCAAAATTTTGGCAAGTGGTCAACGGCTGCCCTTCTGTGGAGGGGGGGCGGTGCCTGGGACAGTGGGTGGGGTGTAGAAGGGAGCTTAGGATAGAGGAATGGGGTGCAGGAGGGAGTGTGGGGTCTGACAGGGAGTTTAAGTGAAGGAGGGGGTTATGATCTGGGGCAGAGGCTTGGGGGGCAGGGTCCAGGAGGGGATAATGGGTGCAGGAAAGGATTGTGGCCTGGGGGAGGGATGTAGAAGGGAGTATAGGGTCTGGGAGGGAGTTGTGATCTGGGAGAAGGGGGGAAAGAGGGTACAGAGGGTTTGGGTGGTGACCTGGAGCAGGGGAATGGGGTGTAGAGCCAGGGAGGGAATATGGGTGCAGGAAAGGATTCTGACCTGGGGGAGAGATGTAGGGCCTGGGAAGGAGTTGTGACCTGGAGGAGGTGGGGAGAGGAGATGCAGAGGGTTTGCATGGTGTCTGGGGGCAGGTAGTTGGGGGAAGAAAGGAGGTGGGGTGCCAGAGGCAGGCTCTGGCTAGGAGGAGCTTATCTAGGCAGCTCCCAGACAGCAGCTTTGCACAAACCTGAGACAGGCTCCTTGCTTGTGTATGGGGGGGTGGGAGGCGCTGCTCCACATGGCTCTGTTCAAGCACAGGGAGGGAGGAGGCTTCATTCGTTGCCCCTGCCATCAGCAAAATTTTTTAGCCCCTATTGGCTGGAAACTGGCCAATGGGAGTTTGGGGATTTTGTTAGGGCGTGGGGACAGTGCACAAAGCTTTCTCCTACCTGCCCAGACTGCATTGTAATTCGCAGTCTGCTTTTTAAGACGGCTGCTCCTACTGTGTAGTAAGGGTGCCGGTGAGGCAGCCATGGCCCAGATCTGACAGTTTGGAAGGCTGGATCTGACCCACTAGCTTCCTCTTGCCCACCCCTACTCTACCACCTCCACAATCCCCCAACCCTCAGGGCCTGCACCTGCTACTAGTGACTCCAGCTGCTAGGCCGCACTGCCCCAGCAAGAGGGGCCTTGCTTATTGACTGTGGTTGCTAAGCCATGCTGCCCCAGTGAGGGGGCATTTTGTATTGGCTCCAGCTGTTAGGCTGCATGGCCCCAGAGAGAGGAGCATTTGTTATTGACTATGGCAGCTAGGCTGCTCTACCCCAGAAAGAGGGGTGCTTGCTACAAACTCTGGCTGCTAGGCGTGACTTGCAGAGTTCCAATAACTGAGACAAATTCTCTCTCACTGTTGATAGTCTGGAGTAAATCGATTACAGGAGTTGGCCATGGTGCGTGGAAAATTGAAAACACTTAGTGGTACATTACATTATCATATTATTCACTATCATAAATACTTATTCCTTGCTGTCATGGGGTGGTACACTCGTACCTCCCCCAGGTTGCGCTGTCAAGTCCCCAGGGTTCCTGAAATCACACCCCCAACCCCACGTGTGTTGTAACTCAATGGCCATTCTAAACCCACGACCCTCTCGCTAGGGCAGTGCGGCCCAGTGGCAGGAATCAATAACAAATGCCCTGCTCACTGGGGGTATGTCTACACTACCCCCCTAGTTCGAACTAGGGGGGTAGTGTAGACATACCCCCAGTGAGCAGGGCATTTGTTATTGATTCCTGCCACTGGGCCGCACTGCCCTAGCGAGAGGGTCGTGGGTTTAGAATGGCCATTGAGTTACAACACACGTGGGGTTGGGGGTGTGATTTCAGGAACCCTGGGGACTTGACAGCGCAACCTGGGGGAGGTACGAGTGTACCACCCCATGACAGCAAGGAATAAGTATTTATGATAGTGAATAATATGATAATGTAATGTACCACTAAGTGTTTTCAATTTTCCACGCACCATGGCCAACTCCTGTAATCGATTTACTCCAGACTATCAACAGTGAGAGAGAATTTGTCTCAGTTATTGGAACTCTGCAAGTCACTAGAGCAGTAGGTGCATTTTATATCACTTTTAACCATTTGGCACACTCTGTAAGTGTTATTACTGGGCCGGACCTGTTTTCCTGTCTCCTGATCTACACCAGTTTAACATCACTGAAATTATACCAGTGTGAAGAGAGAACTGAGGCTGCCTGGTGGATCAGGCCAACAGGATTTGGTCTGTTATTATTATTCAGTAAGCTGTTTAACATTCTAAAAAAGGAAGGATTATTATAAACCATCTTGATAGGAAAATAAGAGTCACTTAAAGTGTTGACTTTATAAAATTGGATTTAAAATATAAAAGGATAAAATTACACTCAGCTGGGAACAGTCTGTCAGCAAACACAAAAAGCTATAGATTTTCTTCTCAACACCATAATTACTGAGGCAGCTGGATTACTGAAAGCAAAATATCCCTACTCAAAACTAGATCCCCAGTAATAATACAGGCATAATATTCCTTTGGGGCTGATCCTGCTGGAAACAGAGACTCCTATTGTGTTCAATGCATGTGTAACCGCCACCAGGGGGATTTGAATGTGGGACCTCTGAAGCTTAGTATAGGAGCCTCTACCCTTTGAGCTAAAAGCCAGCTTACTCTCAGCCTATGATGTAAAGGTCTCTTGTTCTCATCTGTTGCTGTGGTCTAGGTGCCACCATATGGGACACTGAACCACACCAGGGCTACGTCTAGACTGCAAGCCTCTTTCGAAAAAGAACGTCTAGACTACAACCAGTACTTTCGAAAAAGCAAGCTGCTTTTTCGAAAGAGAGCATGCAGGCAGTCTGGATGCTCTCTTTCGAAAAAGCAGTTTGCATTACATAGCACCTTTTTTTGAAAGTGCACTTTCGAAAAAAGGCGTTATTCCTCATAAAACAAGGTTTTCTGCGGTTGAAAAAACTGCCGCGTTCTTTTGATTTACTTTCGAAAGAACGCGGCAGCAGTCTAGACTAAGGGGAAGTTTTTTTGAAAAAAGGCCACTTTTTTTTGAAAGATCACTGTAGTCTAGACACACCCTAGGTGTGTGGGTTACACATGCTGGATTGTTCCCTGTGTCTTTGTTATCTGTGTTTATTATCTTATGGTTCAGATTTTCAAAGGTGTCTAAGGAAGATCAGTGCGATTTGGTCATGTGACTTATGTCATATGATTATTGTCTAATACTATAAATTCTGGGAGGTTTGTATTGTTTGATTTCTCTGCTGACACTTGCACTTAAGAGTTCTGGGGTCAAGAAGATTCCATTACTACGACAATTAATGTTGACAAAGTCAGTGTCAAAATTATTTAGTGCTGAATCAGAATTCAGTAGAGCAACCCTGCTATAAACAAGTTTAGTTGCTTGGTGTACTGGCATTAATACCAGTCAGAACTTTTTAAACACCAGCCTTCCAATTTTGAGGAAAACAGGCAGACCGGTGCTGGGCTGTGGCAGCTCTGGGGGCCGGGGCTAGGGTACACTGCCCCACACCTCTCCTCTCGCTGCAGCTGTTGGGAGATGCATGTCCTGCCCCACCTCTCAGCCAATCAGCTGAGATGGGGTCTTCTCCTGGACACAGAAGCCTTAGAGCAGCTACGACTGGAGCAGCAGCACTCAGCTGGCAGCTGGGAGGCAGCACCAGATATAGCCCCCGGCTTGTCTGGATCTGACTCCCGAAGTTTATGGCTTCCCCCAGACACCCCAAGCCCACTTCCTGGCAGCCCCCTCCCACACACTGAACCCCTTATTTTAATCCCTGCGAGACCTACAAACTCTACTAGCTTGGGTCCCCAAGGCTTGGGGATCATGTAAGTGATGTTGCGGGTTTTATGCTTCTCACTTTTGTGCAGCCCCCCCAACTGATTTTTTTGTGAGTCAGCGGCCCCAACCCAGAAAAGGTTCCCCACCCCTGCCCTAGAGTCAGCTGAGTATGGTGCTATTGCTTACACGCTCCCAAAAATGTCTGCCTCTCCAACTCTCTCCATTTTCCTTCCTTTATAACTGGGCTTGTTTTCCACATTGGTCCCTGCTGTGGTGCATGCCTCCATGACTGGCAGTTCCAGCAACTGTGCTGGGGTTTAGTCAACCTGGTCATCTCTAAGCCACAGAGACTCTCCTCCCCCTTCTGCCTATGCTCAGTTTGGGGCTTGCAGACCACATCACAGACACAAAACCATTTCAGATGCAGGACACGCAACTTTCTAGAGTAATTAGGAAAATTTAAATTGGATTTTTTGATACCTAAATTACTCCAGCCACTAGAGCACGTGCTAGAGAATGATAATGGATGTACCTTAGACACCAAGGCAAAGATACTTTTCTAGAAATAATAAAATAAAGGCTAAATCCTAACTCTGAGAACAGGGCATGTGTGCAAGGAGGAGGCGGCCCCACCACGGTCCACACATTATGGCTGGAGCTAGGCTTGCACCCAGAGTGCAGCAGTAGTGGCTACCCCTCTGAAGCTTTCAAAATAAATGTGATTGGTAATCCAGTAACTCCACCTAGTGTCTAAATCTGCAATAGACTCTTTCCTAAGAGTATACAACAGAAGCACTTTCAGAAAATATTTGTAGCAAGAAATCCCCCTGCTTAGTCTTTGGATTGCTCCACGGGTTTTGTTTTGTTTTATATTTGGCACTGTATTTCAGATCTCATCTGCAACTGAATGAAAGACAGTGACCAAAGTGATGTTCTCAAAGAGTGAAAATGTACTTCCAAGAGGGTTGGCCAATGAAAACTTCCTGTGGACCTGATCTTGTATGAGGCCAAGTGTCTTAATTACCATTAAATCTAAGGCTATGTCTACAATGCATTCCTCTTGGGCAAAAGCCTATGCAAATGAAGCGTGGATTAGCATACTGTCACACTTCATCTACATAATTAATTAAGGGGCGTTTTTGCAAAAGAGGCTTTTGCACAAAAAGGAGCCATCTACACAGCTCCTTTTTGTGCAAAAACACCATCTTGCACAAGAGCTGTTTTTCCTAATTTTTTTCAGGAAAAACATCTCTTGTGCAAGAGGGGGGGTTTGTGCAAAAGCCTCTTGTGCAAAAACAGCCCCTAATTAATTATGAAAATGAAGTGTGGCAATATGCTAATCCAGGCTTCATTTGCATAGACTTTTGCGCAAGAGGGATGCAGTGTAGACGTAGCCTAAGGGTAAGCAAGGGCTCACAGCACCATGCTGGAATAGGAGTGGACTCTTACTCCATACCAGATAACATTTCTGTGATGATCTTATTCCAAATGGCAGTAATGGCAGAGATTAACAAAACTCTCATGTACTAGAAGACCCCAAGAACTGCTGGGGTTAGAAAAAATCAGAAAAGTATAATAAAATAAAGGCATCCTATGGAATAAAGCTATGGTTAAGAAAGAAATACTCTTCTAGACTGATACGCAAAACTCTAATTTCACCTGCCATAGTCACTGAGGGGCCTCACATGGAATATCATTTGGTTACAAGGGAAAAACTTCTTCTAAGAGAGTTGAAGTGTTCCTTGTATTAATGCTCAAAACTGTTGTATTCCAGTGGGGATTGTCAATTGCTAAATGTAAGCGGGGGAATGGTCCCGCTATTGTGGGGAACTTTCCTGGCTTCTATACCACCCCAGTGAAATGAACCAGCGAAAGGATCTGAGTCCCCACTCCCACTTCCTTTACCCCACGGCTTCCCTGATCCTGAGGGCTCCCCCTCCACTCTCTAGAGTAGCAGAGTCCTTGAAACCCCAACAAGGCTGGGCCCAGGTTTCCTGGGGCTTAATCCCCAACCTTGTAGTCACTAGGGGCAGAAGTTAGGGTGTCCCCACTCCGAGGTGCTCTCTTCACACTGCAGGCCTTCTTGGCTCAGTGATCATTTCATAAGGTTCAAAGCGAATACAATTTATTAAACATCAACTGATTTAAAAGAAAAGAATAAGAAAAAATGAGAATGGTTAAATGAGAACACACAGCCCTGCTCTGCAGCACAGGGACATCAAAACAACAGTCTGCAGAGTGTAAGGAGAGTCCACAGTCTCTTCTTTATAGGCCCCTGAGAGGCCCTGGAAGTGCTGCAGGGGGGCTGCAGGCTGGGGAAGCTGGCTCCTGGAGTGACCACACAGCCTCAAGCTCTAAGTGGCCAGACCCCTCTCCCAGGGGGGCTGCAGGCTGGACACGCTGCCTCTGGCAGTGACCACACAGCCTCAAGCTCTAAGTGGCCAGACCCCTCTCCCAGTCTGGCCTGCTGGGCCTCTTGACTGGTGATATCTCCCTGCCCAGAGCCTCTCCCCATACTTTGCTGGTCCCAGCTGCTCACCACACCCAGCTGCAGGCTGTGCTGCTTTGCCAGTCTCCAGCTCCTTGCATTGCTTCTCTGTCCCTTTTGGCTCTCTGAGCACTGCCAATCTGCTGCTCAACACAGGGTCTGTACTCCTTGGGCTGTATGTGCCTGGCTTTGTTTCTGCAGGACTGCTTCTCTACACAGCTTGCTCCTCTTAGCTGTCTCTCAGCTCTCTCCTTGCTCACAGAGACCCAGAAAAATCCCAGCTCACAGGGAAGACGGGGCCTGGCCTCTCACTTTCCTCACTGGCCTGTCCAACCTGTCAGTCAGGCCGAGCTGGAGTGTTGGATGCTTTCCATTGTCTCTGGGGTCTGTCAGTCTCAGGGCCCTGATTTCTCATGGACCCTTCCCCTTTTGACACTGGGAGCTGGTGAACCAAAAACTCCCACAGAGTTTTAGTAAGGGGCTAGCAGTCCCCTTACATAAATATCTCTTTAAAAGGAAACCCGAGCCATTGCATGTGCCTGACAATACAATACTTCTGCTTTTATGCTTCCAAACCAAAATAAATGGTCCTTCACCCTTAGAGCAAAGTTTGACATAATAGCTTCTGATTTCTGTGTGGCAGGGGGCAAGTGACCTGGTGAGTAATAGAGCTAAGCCTCTTAAGCAAAGTTCTCAAACTGCTCACTAAGCTTTTTCACTTTTAAATCACTGAGAGGGTCAATGATTTAAAAGGTGATAGTAAGCTTGGTTCCCATGAATGACTCTGGCTGCAAAGGATCAGTCAGAGTGGAAGTGTTGTTTTTAACAGGACCACAGCGCTACAACAGAATACTAAAGAAACAAATCTTACACAAGTAGTCCTACAGAAGTCCTCGCCAAAATATAGAACAGTCTTCAGAACTCACTGTCTTGCGTTCTGTTCAGAGATACAATTGCATAGACTTGATTCTTCCCTCACAGATGTATCTAATAACTGATTAAACATGCAGAAAATATTTACTTTTGAGATCAGCCCAAGCCATAACCGATGTAGACACACTTGGACTTCTGATGAACTTTGGATCTGAACTTTTTAACTGACTTCAAGGGCTGACCAGATTCGGAACATTCCCAAATTTGGGTGATTCAAAATATGGAGTAATAAAACAATACTGGGACTAGAATCAAACACTAATTTATTTACAGTTTCCTGCATTGCTTGCAAGACTTTCTGAGGGAATTGCAATGGTCTTTAACAATTTAATCCACGAAGTGTGAAATTAATTTAAATCATCGTCTACATAAAAGTGCCATATTATGTAACTAAACTTGAGTCTTATGATTAACTTTTTCATTTCAATGATAAATGAATGATGTAATCTGCACAAACTCACAACCGCAAATGGTTGTTAGAGACAGTTAAGATGACTATGCTTTGGAATGAAACTTAATTGAATCCATAATGACTGAATGTTTGCTTACCTTATAGCCAAACAGGAACAGTCCAAAGAAAAGACTGTAGAGATCAGCTGTTAGAATGCCCAAGTTGACAGAAGTAGCACTAGTAACTTTAATCACTACTGGCATGAAGCTGTACAGCCCAAACATACAGAGGGCAAAAGCCATAAATAGTAACACTGTAAAACAAAACAACAATCAACTCTAAATAGACTGAATAATGAGACAGCAAAAAGACTGATGTTCTTCAGACATTGTAAATCTTTGCACATATTATCAGGTGCTACAGTAATACAAATACAAATAATAAATGTGAATCAGACAGGGAGAAGTGGTTGATGTGGTATACCTAGACTTTAGTAAGGCATTTGACATGGTCTTGCATGACCTTATTATCAATAAACTAGGAAAATACAGCCTAGATGGGGTACTGTAAGGTGGGTGCATAACTGGCTGGATTACCATTCTCAGAGAGTAGTTATTAACGATTCAGAATCAAGCTGGATGGGTATAACAAGTGGGGTTCTGCAGTGGTCTGTTTCGGGACTGGTTTTGTTCAATATCTTCATCAATTATTTAGATGACGGCATAGAGAGTACTCTTAGTAAGTTTGCAGATGATACCAAGCAGAGAGAGGTTGCAAGTGCTTTGGAGGACAAGGTCAAAATTCAAAATGATCTGGACGAATTAGAGAAATGGTCTGAGGTAAACAGGATTAAGTTTAATAAAGACAAATGCAAAGTACTCCACTTAAGAAGGAACTATCCATTTCACACATACAGACTGGGAAGTGACTGTCTAGAAAGGAATACAGGCAGTCCCCGGGTTACGTACAAGATAGGGACTGTAGGTTTGTTCTTAAGTTGAATCTGTATGTAAGTCGGAACTGGCGTCCAGATTCAGACACTGCTGAAACTGACCGCCAGTTCTGACTTACATACAGAATCAACTTAAGAACCCCAGGCGTCCCCAAGTCAGCTGCTGCTGAAACTGATCAGCAGCTGATTCCAGGAAGCCCGGGGCAGAGCAACTCTGCCTGGGGCTTCCTGTAGTCAGCGCTGGTCAGTTTCAGCAGAAGCTGACTTGGGGATGCCTGGGGCAGAGCAGCTGGGGTGCTGCCGGGTTGGTCCAGTAGTGCCCAGAGCGGGCGCTGCAGGACCAATC